TTAGGATGTGATATCATCATATTAGAGTTAAGGGTGAAGGTATATCCAAGAAAACTTTAGGCTAAAAGTTATCTAAGTATGATTCTTGATTGTATGAAGTGAATTTTATAGGTCTTATAATTTCTATCGGAGGTATAATATAGATTTATTTAAGGTAGAAGTTGTGCTTAAGTGGGAGATTCCTAAGTCAGTTAGTGAAGTTAGGAGTTTTCTTAGATTAGATCATTGTTATTGGAGATTTATTGAGTAAATTTCTAAGATAGCATTACCTTTGAGCAAATTGACCAAGAAGAGTGTTGTCTTTGTGTGAGATAGTAAGTGTGAGAGTAGTTCCCAAACTCTTAAGGAAAGATCGACTAGTGCACCAGTGTTAGCATTGGCCGATCTTAGTAAGTCTTTTGTGGTATATGTTAATGTTTCTAAGATAGGTTTGGGTAGCGTGTTGATGCAAGAAGGAAAGGTAGTAGCTTATGATTCTAGACAATTAAAAATTCATGTGAGGAATTGTAGACACCCAATTTCGTCTAGGGGCATACAAACAAGGAAATGGACCTCTGTTATGAAGGGAAGGAGCTCCTGAAACATGCAAACACCAAGACAGGACATCAGAAGGCCTAAAGCCCAAATAAATTGGTTTTAGTGGCCCGGAATGGGCTGTTCCAAAATTGGAACGGGCCGTTCCAAGCCAAAAAAAAGGCCTAAACACCTAGTCTAGAACAGGCCGTTCCAAAACCAGAAAGGGTCGTTCCAAACCAGGCAAAAGGCCTAAAAATCTTAGTCTAGAACGGGTCGTTCCTAAACCATAACGTGCCGTTCCAATTCAGCTTGCGTCATTTCAATTTTAGTTCTCTGCCACTCCTTCAGCTTTACTTCATTTGTATGAACCAAAAGGTACACCTGTTGAAATGCAGTGAATTATTATTTGATACTTTACTCATAGCCCCCTTCTTTCCTTCTCTTTGAATAAATCAAAACTCCATTATTTTACTCTAGACAAGATAAGAGGGAGAACAGAGAGAGAAAGAACTTTAAAATATTAAACACAAATGCAAAGTATCTAGCAGAGTTTGGGTAACCAATCCACATGTTGAGACATTTGAATTCAGATAGCACATCGTAAATTGTCATTAAACACTTATCATTAACAATTTGTAATTATTTACAAATGTCAACCTGCATTTATTGATATAAGAAGTCAGATTATAAAGAAACTTCAATTACTCATCTACATAACCATGATAAATACATAACCAGACATAAGTTAACAATGAAACATCAAATGATATTCTTAAGACACTTGAAATTTGAACTAAGATTATAAAAAAGTTGCCGTGTGTCTAGGAACCAGAATACCATAAAGTAGTTGATAATGACTTCATTTATTCAAACTCAAACTATAAAATAACATAATGAGGATAAAGTAACATACCATGTCACGCATATTAAAGTGGAGATTTGTCACCTAGTCACCTCTACCAAGTTCATCACTAATCCCATAAGATATATATATCTTGGGTCCTACGTCATTCTGCAAGGAGTAATGAGGCAATTTAGCTGCAACATTGAGAATGCCCCACTTGGAGTGAATATACTGAAGTAAAGGTAGTTTGCTGATAAACTCAGGTCTTTGGTACAATAGAAATTCTTCAGATGCACTAGGTGAAGGCCAATCCTTCAATTTCAATAACTGTGGCCAACCATCTTCATGAATATGCCCTTCAAAGTATCCTTTCATGAATCGAGAGAGCTCAATATCAATCTGTCAATATAAAAATAATAAATTGCAGCCATAATGCAGAGAAATTTAGCATAGATTATGAACCAAAAACACAGTGCAATAGATAAAACCAACAGAATCCCAATCACTAAAAAGAGTTAAGGTATAGATGTGTACCTCAGACCCATCTAAGCAGAAAATATTACGGCCTAGAGAGGTTATGAAAATACTACAGCCTGGAGAGGCTATGAAAATACTATAGCCTGGAGAGGCTATGAAAATACTACAACAACAAAGAGGGTTACCTACCTTTAGAAGAGGCCGGCTGAAGCCTTAAAATATCAATCCAGCCTGGAGAGGCTACGAAAATACTCCCTCTTAAACAAGCTACAAATAAAGGGACACATTATCACAAGAGAAACAATGGAGCTTCTACTCGAAGACTGAAGATCAGGTGTACATTTTGTCAACCTTGTTACCCAATAGAGTATGCAACCAATGCTCAATTTCTCTAAAGGGTGAGGATACGAGCAAATACACCTATCCAAGGGAAACAACGCAGAAGCACCAAAGAGATAAAGAGAAAACCCGGATGAAATGTCTACGTCTTTACTTGCCTTTGGAAAAGCAACACATTACTATTCCAAAGGACAAGTAAACAATGGCAGCTGTAGACACCTAATTTCGTCCGGGGGCATACAAACAAGGAAATGGACCTCCATTATGAAGGGAAGGAGCTCCCAAAGCATGCAAACAACAGGACAGGACATCAGAAGGCCTAAAGCCCAAATAAATTGGTTTTAGTGGCCCGGAATGGGTTGTTCCAAAATCGAAACCGGCTATTCCAAGCCACAAAAAAGGCATAAAAAGCTAGTCTGGAATGAGCCGTTCCAAAACCAGAACGGGCCATTCCAAACCAGGAAAAAGGCCTAAAAATCTTAGTCTTGAACGGACTGTTCCTAAACCAGAACGGGCCTTTCCAAACCGTTAAATAGCCTAAAAAACCTAGTTTGGAACGGGTCGTTCTAGCAATGCATTTTTGTGTTAATCTCAATCCCAGAACGGGCCGTTCTGGTTTTAGAACAGGCCGTTCTGATTTTAGAACAGGCCGTTCTGATTTTAGAACAGGCCGTTCTGGTTTCAGAACAGGCCATTCCAGGCTAAGAATTTAACACATAACATTCAGATCCAGAACGGGCCGTTCCGAATTTGGAACAGGCCGTTCTAGTACCCTTCTAATGCTTATAAATAGACAGCTTGGGCACAGTTCTCAAGGCCTCAAAAATTTCGTCCAGGACTCCTTAGATCTCGATATTTCTCTCTCTCTCCTATTATATTTCTTGAGTTTTGATCCAGAACGGGCCGTTCCGAATTTGGAACAGGCCGTTCTAGTACCCTTCTAATGCTTATAAATAGACAGCTTGGGCACAGTTCTCAAGGCCTCAAAAATTTCGTCCAGGACTCCTTAGATCTCGATATTTCTCTCTCTCTCCTATTATATTTCTTGAGTTTTGTG